GTTCCAGGACAGGCTCCAAAGCTACACAAAGAAACCCTGTCTCAAAAAATTATCCATCTTGCCAGAATGCTAGAATGCTATTGAATGTGATAGGAGACAGGAAATGTCTGGGATATATCTAAGTCACATTTGAGACATTAATAGGACTGTATTTAAATCTCGTCTGAGATGTATCTAAAGGGCACAATTTGATCCTGCCAGACTATTTTGTGCCATGTCAAGGAAGACCATGTGTGTTGTGTCCATGACAGGTTATGATAACACATGCCATATGTCTGAGGATGTCAGGTGAGATCAGAGAGTTGCAATAGACACTGTGTCCTGGGTCTTTGGGAAGGCTTGGAGAGTTCTGTGCTGTGTTCAGATGTGGAAGATGTGTTAGACAAAGTAGGAGCCACATGAAGGCATGATGGGGCGTGTGTGCCATGTTAACCTGACCTTTGCTCTACTTGTTGCTTGCCTTTACCCCTGTTTTCTTTGCTTTCATCCCCTTCTTGTCATGCTGAGCTTAAAGGGAAAATGCACAGCCCTGGCTGAGAGTCCCCACCCCTCCTAAAGTCCACTGCCTACCTTTTCCCCTGATGACCCCTAATTGTCCTCCTTTGTGTTAGCTGCTGTTGCACCCAAGGAAATGACTCTCTATGGCCTCCTGAAGCCCTGGCTAGGTGAGTATCTGAGGGTCAGAGGACTGATTCCCTTGAGGGCTAAGGGGGGGGGAGGCTACCCTTGCATATTGTCATGGCTATGCTACCAGGGGACGGGCTCCTGCTGAGTTCAGGTGGCAAGTGGAGCCACCACCGCCGCATGCTGACACCCGCCTTTCACTTCGACATCCTGAAGCCCTATGTGAAGATTTTTAACAAGAGCGTGAACATCATGCATGTGAGTTCCTGAACACGGGGTCCCATTGGAACCTTGTAGAAAGCGCTGTAGTTTCAAATGTAATCTGCAGGTTGGGGTCTGCTGGATCCCTTTGAGATCACAAATTTCCCTCTCCAAACCTTAGCTTTCTTTTTCTTTCTTTTTTGATTTTTGAGACAGGGTTTCTTTGTGTAGCCTTGGCTATCCAAGAACTTGCTCTGCAGACCAAGCTGATCTGGAACTCAGATATCCACTTGGCCTCTGCTTCCTGAGTGCTAGAATTAAAGATGCGAGCCACCACCACCTGACAATTTTCTTCCTGTAAAGTGGGAATAATAATCCATTCTTAAAGGGTAGTCAAGATGACCTCATGGGGTCATGCTCCTAGCTTCGGAAAGGGGCTCAGAAGGAATATGGTCACAGATGCTTCGGCAAGTTGACACATTCATGCTGACTATTGCATAGTTGGTCTTTCTACATACCACACTGTACCAGGCCTTTTATTTTAGGTCATCAACCAGCTCCTGGATCATGACCCAGAGACTTACTAGTTTTAAATGCTAGGTGTAATTTAGGCACATTTCTGGCTACCTCTTTTAACATAAATTCACCTGTTTCTCTTTATCTACCTTTTGTCTCTGGACTTGTCACCTATCTTCTGTGTATCTTCTGTATTTCACTGCTTCTCTGTGTCTGGTTGACTGGCATCTTCCTGGCTTCTTGCCCTGAGTATCTCCATTGGTCTCTCCTCCTACTATTTCTCTTGTTCCTTTAGAGCCTAGATTTCTCTTCCTATTTATTCTCTCTCCCTGCCAACCTCACCAGTCCCTTTCTCCTTCCTAACTATTAGTCATGCAGCTCTTTATTTTAAATCAATCAGATACCTTAGGCAGGCATGGTGAAACAAATGCTGCATATCTTTTCATACCCAAACAAATGCAGCACAAACAAGTGTAACACTTCCTTACATCATTATACAAATGCAGCAGAAACAAATGTAACACAGCTTTGCCTGGTTAAAATAACAATACACCACTCTAAACTCACTGGCTTTAAACTCTGAAGGGTGATACATACCTTTGATCCCAGCACTTGGGAGACTGGGGCAGAAGTATAGTGAGTTCATGGATGGCTGTATAGCAAGACCCTGTCTCAAAAGAAGAAAGGTCTTGTGTGTAGCTCAGTGCTAGTCGGTGTGCTTAGCATGCACAAAGCTGTGCTTTCCATCCCAGCATAAACAACAATAAAAACAGAGCGTGGTGTGTGTGTGTGTGTGTGTGTGTGTGTGTGTGTGTGTGTGTGTGTTTTGGAGTGGGTTGTTTTTGTTTTGATTTTCGATGGGGGGGGCAGTTTGAAACAGGATCTCACTATGTATCTCTGGCTATCCAGGAACTCACTATTTAGAGCAGGATGGCCTCGAACTGGCTGAGAACTGCCTGCCTCTGCCTCCCAAGTGCTGGGATGGAAGGAGTGCACCAACATGCCTAACTAAAACAGGTTTAGTAAAAAAAAAAAAAAGGAAAAGCATAACAGCAGCACTGGCTTTGGTGGGCCAGCTATATCCATCTTACCTTTTCCTTATGTTCCTTAAAAGAGCCTGGTTTCCAGCACAGAGAGACTGGGTTCTGAAAGAGAGAAAATTCGGAAAAGCTTAGTATCTCTCCAATAGCTTCAGAGATAGCACGCCAGCATTTTTACAACACTCTTTGGGTCAGAACAAATAAGTCCCTAGTTCAACTCAGATTCAAGACTTGGAGAAACAGGCCTACCTCCCAGTGGAGAGAGCCTCAAGGACTTGTTGCAGAGGCTGAGGGTAGAGGAATTATGAAAAACTGGGGCCATTACTGAAGTCTCCTACCACTGTGCTAGTGGTGGGAGGGATGGGAAGGACGGAATGACAACAGACATCTATTGATCACCTACTATGTACAGAAATATTGTGACACTTCCATGCTCTAAGTCATCTGATATAATTTCCACATTATTCTAAGATGGAGATGATTATGACTCCTATATTATGGATGGTGAAACTGGGGACCAGAGAGGTCAGGGAGCATGTCAAAGTTTACCAGCAGTAAGAAAGTATAAGCAGTGAAGCAAGATAATTAAATATAGTTTGTGGAGCCAAAAAAAACAAAACAAAACAAAACAAAACACATTTGTGTCATAGACTAACACCTCTGTCCTCATCCACATCTGGCCTACCCTGGGATGGTGTGCCTGGGGCAGAGGACCAGAAGGCTGGCTCAGAGAAGGATAGGGGACTCTATTCCAGTGTTTGGAGGTGTGCCGTGGCTCAAGAAGGCAAGATTTAGCCCATCTCAGTCTACTTCTCTGGCCAGGCCAAGTGGCAGCGCCTGACCGCCAAGGGCATCGCTCGTCTGGACATGTTTGAACACATCAGCCTCATGACCTTGGACAGTCTGCAGAAGTGCATCTTCAGCTTTGACAGCAACTGTCAGGAGTGAGTCACTTGTCTTTGCCTGGGAACCTGAGCGATGGACCAAGGGAGGAGGTTAGGGAAGGAGGAGCTGGAAAGGGAGAAAGGTGGGCTATAACTGACATTTGAGGACAGTGAAAGGAGAAACAGCAGTACTTTTGGGTGGGTGGGATTGTTTAGATAAAGGCAGGGAGTTGGAGATGAGGACTGTCATTAACAGGCAGTTTGAAACAAGACATGTGGAAATTAGGTTGGGGGGGGTGTTGGATTTTTTTTTCTGTTGTGACATAATACATGAGCTAGACAGCTTAAAGGAGAAAAGATATGTTTGAGTTCCTGGTGTCAGAGGCTTAAGTCCGTTTTGGTAGGAAAGAGGATGGCAGAGCCCCTCCCATCATAATGGCCAAGAAGTAGAGAGTGCAGGTTGCTTGTGTTTGCAACCAACCCTTCTCCTCCTTTTGTCTGCCCACATACTGAGCTGACTTTTAACCACTAAGTATTCTCTAAAATACCCCTACAGACACACACAGAAATATGCTTCACTAAACTCCTCAATGGGTCTTAAGCCAAGAAAGATGATGATCAAGGTCCCAGTAGAAGCAGGATAGTGGGCACAAAGTCCTATCCCCACCTAAGAAGCTATTGCCATTCTGGGAATGGGAGTAACACCGGATATATCTACCACACTCCGAGGCAGACCTCCTGCTCAGCACAAATCAGACACCATAGCTTCTGTGTGTGTGTGTGTGTGTGTGTGTGTGTGTGTGTGTGTGTGTGTGTGTGTGTGTGTGTGTGTCCTTTTGTTTCATTTGGATTTTTGTTTTGTTTTGTTTTAAGAGAGAGAAAAAACAAAGTTGGATGGGTGGGAAAATTCAAGAAGGAATTGTCAGAAGAGAAAGAATATGATCAAAGGTTTAAAAAGTATTTTAAAAAAGATTAACTGTCCCTAGACAGTGGTAACCAATTCCTTTAATCCCAGCACTTGGAAGGCAGAGGCAGGCAGATCTCTGAGTTCCAGGATGGACAGGTCTACACAGAGAAGCTCTGTCACAAAAAAGATTAACTGTCACTCAGGATTAGACAGTGGAAATTGCCTTCTTTTTTTCTACTTTTCTTTTAATTTTTGTAAGTTTGAGGTCAGGCTGGGCTACATAGAGAAACTTTTATAAAAAATAAAAAACAAAAAAAATGAAACTTTTCATTTTCAGAAAGGGTCTTACTACACAACCCAGATTGTCCTGGAGCTCACAATCCTTCTGCCTCTTTTTCCTAAATGTTAGGCTTGCAGCATGAACACCAGGTGCAGCTGGCAACTAGGCGTTAATGATGTTAAACAATCAGCCAGAAGGATGCGAACTTCATCATGAGTTTCCCAGGCATCCATAGGTATTCAAGATGAGAGTTTAAGTCACAGTTGAATTTGAATACCAGCGCTTTAGAGAACAAACAGGTAGATACACAATGTAGGATTTAGAGAGGGAAAGATCTGAGCGTAGTGTGGAAAACAGGGCAGATCTGCAACAAATCAAGGAGGAACAGCAGAAGAAAGAAAGATGAGGGCAATGCCCACGCCCACCCTGGAATCCCGGGGACACGGCAGCTCATAAGGAGAGGCTGAGGGAAATATGGCTGGAAAGCACCTTTGGGGGGTGGATTTAGTCCTTGGTCTCTGCCTGGGGAGGGAGGATTCGTGTGTCCTAAGAGTTTGCTTTCTCTCTGGCCTGCCCCGCAGGTCTCCCAGTAAATACATTGCTGCCATTTTGGAGCTCAGCTCCCTCATAATGAAACGGCACCGCCAGCTCTTCCTGCATATGGACTTCCTGTACTACCTCACTCCTGATGGGCGGCGCTTCCGCAAGGCCTGCGACCTGGTGCATGACTTCACAGATGCTGTCATCAGGGAGAGACGCCGCACCCTCAATAGCCAGGGTGTTGATGAATTCGTGAAGGCCAAGGCTAAGTCTAAGACTTTAGACTTCATCGATGTGCTCTTGATGGCCAAGGTGGGCTTTTTGGGGGGATCTGAGTTGCATGGATCTTGATGTTCAATGTTAGCTAGAGGTTGAGAGCTCAATCTAGAGAGTACTAGGGAGGCATCAACTGTGGTTGTAAAAAGGAGGAAAAGGTTAGAGGTGCCTGTTGAATGCTGTGTAGAAGCAGCAAAGAACAGCAAGAAGCCAAGGAGGAAATTGTATGGAAGGATCTGGAGATAATACAGGAGCATCCTGTGGGTGTCGGGGCTTGTCTCAAAATAGACTCAGGAGTGTCCAGACACTGTGAATTGTGATCGTGCTTCGTCTTCAGGACGAACATGGAAAGGAGCTGTCAGATGAGGACGTCCGGGCAGAGGCTGACACCTTCATGTTTGGAGGTGAGGGTCCCTGTGTAAGACTACAGAAAGGGTAGGATCTGTCAGTTCCGGGGTCATCTGTCAGGGGGACACCCAGGGTCTCTCCCTTCCTCCCATCCATCCCTTCCCTGTCCTTCCTGGGGACCTCGATGTCTAGACACCGTCCAGCCTGTGGTGCAGAAGCAGTCCAAAGACACACCTTCTTATCCTTCAGGCCATGACACCACAGCCAGTGGGCTCTCCTGGATCCTGTACAACCTGGCGAGGCACCCAGAATACCAGGAGCGCTGCCGGCAGGAGGTGCGGGAGCTGCTGAGGGACCGAGAGCCTCAGGAGATTGAATGGTGAGCACAGGTCCTTCTTGTGTATTCTATAGCCCTTCTTATTGGCTCTGCTCCCCAGATGGGGAAGAGAAGCTCTTTTTGTTGATTCTTCCACTATTACTTGGTGTGCATAGAAGTTGAGCTCAGAGTGAGATACCTGACCAGCAAGAGAAAGGCTGTATGCTTAGGGACAGAGGGATCTCAAAGCCCATGTTTACCACTTCACTAATTTGCTAGTTAAAATTAGCAAAATTTTAATTGTAATTTTTTGAGGAAGGATATCTTTATGTAGCCTAGTGGAGTGGTTTCAATAGGAATGGCCCCCATTGATTCATGTTTGGATACGTGGTCCATAGGGAGTGGCACTACTAAGAGGTAAGGCCCTGTTAGAGTAGGTGTGGCTTTGTGGGAGGAAATGTGTCACTAAGGGGTAGACTTTGAGGTCTCAGAAGCTCAAGCTAGCTCATTTCTTGCTGCCTGCCGATCGTGATGTAGAACTCTCAGCTTCTTCTCCAGCACCATGGCTTCCTGTCATGACAATAATGGACTAGACCTCTGAAACTGTAAACTGACCCCAATAAAATGTTTTCCTTTATAAGAGTTGCCATGGTCATGGTCTCTCTTCACAGCAATAGAAACCCTAACTAAAATACTAGGGAGGCTTCAAATCAATCTGAATACCCTTCTTGATTTCTGGTTTTATAAAACCATGTCACCATGCCCCTTCCTAGATGCATTTGTAAGTTGGCCAGTTTGTGATGGAATATTTGCTATACAGCCCAGGCTGGTATCAAACTGATGGACTCAAGTGATCACCTGCTTTAGTCTACAGAATCACTGATCAAAGTCAAGTCAGAAAAAAGGAGGGGTGGAGAGCCAAGCTGCTTGATGGCACAGTGAACAAACAAGGCAGTAAGAAGTTCTTCAGGTCAAGGAGACGTCTCTGCTATAGCAGAAGGGAAGCAGTTTGACATGCTTAGGGGTCAGGGAGAGTAATATGCCTAGATGCTTGGTAAATACACATGTGAGGACCAGAGAGGCTCCTCATGAGACTGGAGCTGGCGTACACCTTTACTCCTCAGCACTCGAGAGGCAGAGGCAGGCGGATCTCTGTGAGTTTTAGGCCAGCCTGGTCTACAGAGGGAGTTGCAGCACAGCCAGGGCTACACAGAGAAACCCTGTCTCAATAAATAATTAAAGAAATAACTTGAGTTTTAACCAGAGGTGTGTCCACTGAAGACCTTTGGAAGCCAATGTAAAATCAAAGGTAAACACGAGCAGGAAAGCCAGATGTGGTGATTCAGGCTGTGCTCTCAACACCAGGGAGACTGATGCAGATGACAGTGAGGTCTAGGTAGCCTGGGTTACAAAGCAAGACCTTTTCTCAAAATTAACAAAAGAAAGATATGTGGTGTGCTGCCTTTAGGGCAGCCAGGATGTATCTTGATTTATCAAAACATTCCCACCTTATTGGACATTTGCCTAGCTTCCAATCTTTTTCTCCTTTTTAAATTTCATATTCATTTATTACTGTGTGTTTATGTGCTGTGCCTTTACCATCTGAGCCATCATTCTGGCTCTCCAGCCTTTTCTTCTAGCAAACACAATGTAGGGAGTATCTGTGTACTTCAACCCTTTGTATCACGTATGATACTTGTGCAGGACAAATTCCAAGACTGCAGTTGCTGAAGTAAGACCTTTTGAATATATGCTGGCAAATTGTATATTTGAAAATGACTTTGGGATTGGAGAAGTAGCTCAGCAGTTAAGAGCACTTGCTGTTCTTGCAGAGGACCAGATTTTGGTTCCTAGTACCCACACTGGCTGACTAGCAACTGCCTGTAACTCCAACTCCAGGGAATCTGATGCCTTCTCTAGCAACTGCAACCACACACACACACACACACACACACACACACACACACACACACAATTTTAAAACATCACTCATGAGTTCAGTAATTTAGTGGCTCTTTGAAAATCCACATCCACACATACATCTAGAGAGTGCCCAGTTCTTTGTGTCTTCATCAGTATATGTGTGGAACTTGAAAGTGTTCACCAATCTGAATAGTTGTAGCACACTCTGCTACAGGAATGAACACCACTGTATGTACTGATGGTGCTGAACATGACGTTCATCTTTTGATCAGCCATGCATATGGCTTTTTCTTTGACATGTCAAATTACTTTGTTTTCCTATCTTTGGAATTTATGTTTTTTCCTTACTTATCTGTAAATTTCTTAAGTGTTTTTAACTTTTGTTTTGAGACAGGGTCTCACTATGTAGCTTTGACTGTCCTAGAACTGACTTTTAAACCAGGCTGGCCTCTAGCTTAGACAGACTTGCCTGCCTCTGTGCAAGAGTAAAGGCACTTATCAATACATCTAGCAATTAAAAAAAATTTTTTTGGTTTTTCGAGACAGGGTTTCTCTGTGTTGCTTTGGAACCTGTTCTGGCACTCACTCTGGAGACCAGGCTGGCCTCGAACTCACAGAGATCTGCCTGCCTCTGCCTCCCGAGTGCTGGATTAAAGGCGTGCGTCACCAACGCCCAGCAATTAACTTTTAATTTTTATGTATTTCCATGTATGTGTGTGACTGTGTGAGTGTCTACCGTGTGTGTGGGTGTGTCACAGATGACAGAAGAGGGCATCAGAGAGGTTGGAACTTGAGTTACAGGCAGCTGTGAACCAGTTAACATGGGTTCTGGGAATCAAACTCAGGTCCTCTGGGGGATACCTGAGTGCCATTACTCTTTCCAGCTTGAGAACTTTAAAAAATACATGTGTATGATGTATGTAGGGGGATGAGCATGTGTATAAGGGTGTTTGTATGCATGCATGTGTGTGGAGGCTAGATGTTGACATCAGATGTCATGGTTTTTCTCCACTTCCTTTACTGAGTCAGGGTCCCTCTCTGAACAGAGCTTGCTGCTGTGGTGGGTCTCACAGCTTGTCTGATTTGGCTCTGGGTCTGCTATGACCTCCTGGTTGGAGATCTAAACTCTGCTCTTCTTGCTTGCATGGCAAGAATTTTATCTACTTTGCCATTTCCCCAGCCCTAAGAACTCATTACATATTCAAAGCCTCACCCTGGTTCTTCTTTATCAGGAATGGAAAGATTATTCTGGTTTTTCGGTTTTAAGGATGGAAACCCGAGCCTTGGACACAGTAGGAGCTGCTGCTGCTTGGGCTTCATCCCCAGCCGTAGCTTATTGCTGCTCAGCATATAGACTTTCCTTTTCAAGTACCCTAGCGTTGGGTCCCTGAGAGACCATCTGTTCACTACAGGTAGCCGCTATACCTGGCTGCATCCGAAGTATCAGTGCATGGATCCCTTCTATTGCCTCGCACTTCAGCCAGTCTCCATACCTTGGTAATTCTTGCCTGGAATAGGGGAGAGAGAGAGAGAGAGAGAGAGAGAGAGATATATATATATATATATATATATATATATATTGTTTGTTTGTTTGTTTTTTGTTGTTTTTTTTTTTTACTCTTTTGGCTTTGTCAGGGGCCCACCACCCAGCTCCCAAATAAATCACACTCAGAGTCTCTTTGTCTTCTGGCTTGCCAGCTTTTCTTAAATTATCCCATCTACCTTTTGGCCCTGAGCTTTTATCTTTACTTCTATATATCTTACTTTCCTTTTTACTCTATGGCTGGGTGGGTGGCCGGGTGGCTGGGTGGCTAGCCCTTGACATCCTCCTCTCCTTGTTCTCTTGCTGCTCCCCTACTTCCTCATTTCTCCTTCTTTGTATTCTGTCCCTGCCTATCCTTGCTCCTGTCTTGCTATTGGACATTCAGATCTTTATTGGGACCATCAGGTGTTTTAGCCAGGTAAAAAAGTCACTGCTTCACAGAGTTAAACAAAGGCAGCATAAACAAAAGTCACCCACCTCAGAAATAATATTCTACCACCAGCCACCATACCTGGGATGCCCTTTGATCTCTTTCTTTCTTCCTTCCTTCCTTCCTTCCTTCCTTTCTTTCTTTCTTTCTTTTTTGTTTTCTTTTGTTTTTTTGAGACAGATTCTCTCTATAGCCCTTGCTGTCCTGGTACTCTTTGTGTAGATCAGGCTGGCTTGGAACTTACAGAGATCCATCTGTCCCTGCTTCCCAAATGCTGGGATTAAAAATGTGTGGCACTAAGCCAGTCTTCCTTTGGTTTTTATGGACTTGTCTATGTAGCCCAGGCTGGCCTGGAATTTACCATCTTCCTCCTTTTGTTTCCAGAAATTATAGACACAACTTGGACATCTCTTTTAAAATGTCTTATGCTTGCCCTTCTGTGAATTCTTAGTTTATAACCTTTCTTTATTTTTCTGCTGGGTCATGTGTTCCTTATTTGTTGAGATTTCCTCTGTGTGTGTGTGTGTGTGTGTGTGTGTGTGTGTGTGTGTGTGTGTGTGTCTGTGTGTATACCCTCTTTGTTTTACCAGAAATTAACTTCTCATGTATTCATGAACATATCTGGGATCTACTAATATTCCTTTCATCCAGCACTTAGGAAGTAGAAGCAAGAGAATCAAGGTTAAAGTTCATCCTTAATTACATAGCTAGTTCAAGGCCAACTAACCAAAGCAAAGGGCTGGAGAGATGGCTCAACAGTTAAGAGCACTTACTGGCCACGAGGTGGTGGTGCACACCTTTAATCCCAGCACTTGGGAGGCAGAGGCAGGCAGATCTCTGTGAGTTCGAGGCCAGCCTGGTCTTCAAAGAAAATTCCAGGACAGTCTCCAAACTCTGTCTCAAAAAACAAAAACAAAACAAAACAAAACAAAAATCCAGAGACAATCTAGGTTAGACCCCAACACCAACATCACACAGCTCACAACCACCTATAATTCCACATCCAGGGAATCTGACACCCTCTTTTGGCCTCCACAGACATATGTGGTACATATACACACAGAGAGAGACACATGCACACTCAAAATTTTAGTATTTTAAAAACAATAGTTTTGGTACAGAACTTTGTATTGATCAGTCTCACTGAGTGGCAGAGGGACAGGGCAAGACTTTGGTTTGCTCCTGGATAACTGTGTGGCTTGTTCCTCAGGGACGACCTGGCCCAGCTGCCCTTCCTCACCATGTGCATCAAGGAGAGTCTGCGGCTGCATCCCCCGGTCACAATGATCTTACGCTGCTGCACCCAGGACATTGTGCTGCCAGATGGCCGGGTCATCCCCAAAGGTGCCTCAGTATCAGTGGGAGAGGGGTCTAGGTAGGACGGTGGTCCCCAGAAACAACGTGGACCTTTTCCTCATTGTCTCCTTACTCAACAGGGAATGTCTGCGCCATCAGCATCTTCGGGGTTCACCACAATCCTTCAGTCTGGCCAGACCCTGAGGTTCGACCCTGCTCTTTCCCTACCTCTGCGACCTGGGGAAGAGGCCTACCTGGGAAACCAGAGCTATCATCCCCCTTTCTCTGCCTGTCTTTTCTGTGGCCAGCTGAATGTGGGGAGAGAAACGACCCGTTAGCATATCTTGCCTGGCTTGCAGGTCTATGACCCCTTCAGATTTGACCCAGAAACTCCACAGAAGAGGTCACCTCTGGCTTTTATTCCTTTCTCAGCGGGGCCCAGGTGAGGCCAGTGGTCTTGGGATGAGGGGGCGAAATCTGGGTCTGACGGTGAAGGTGGGACAATTGCATGGTTGAGGATTTTGGGGATCCTTACCCACCTTTGCTTCGGTTGTGTGCAAAAGTCTGCAAAAACCCGGCCGGGCGGTGGTGGAGCATGCCTTTAATCCCAGCACTCGGGAGGAAGAGGCAGGAGAATCTCTGAGTTCAAGGCCAGCCTGGTCTCCAGAGCGAGTGTCAGGACGGCCTCCCCAAAAAAAAACAAAAAAAACCGTGTTTCAAAAAAAAAAAAAAAAAAAAAAAAAAAAAAAAAAAAAAAGTCTGCAAAACCCAGGTTGCAAGTTCATAGGCTTTGTACTCATCCCGCCCTGGCAGGCCCCAATAATAGGGACCACAGTGTAAAGCCCCAGGCACATCAGAGACCCCCTGCCTCTCAGACTGACCAGGAAGGGGGGTCCGGTCAGCTTGGGTCCTAGAGTGCCTGACTGGGTCCCAGTGCAGTCCCCACCCCGTCCTTCGTCCTTCCGCAGGAACTGCATAGGACAGACTTTCGCCATGAACGAGATGAAGGTGGCGCTGGCGCTGACACTGCTGCGTTTCCGCGTCCTGCTGGATGACAAGGAGCCCCGCAGGCAGCCGGAGCTGATCCTGCGTGCAGAGGGTGGGCTGTGGCTGCGGGTGGAGCCCCTGAGCTCGGGTGCACAGTGACCACCAAGCCTGGCTTGGGACCACCCCACCCACCTGCCTACCTCTTTGAATTTCTGAACAAGTAGAGTTGTCTCCTGTGCCTGAGCGGGAGCGAGCATAAACCCAGAATCTGTGCCTCCAGGCTGATGAGTGTTCTCCTAGAGTTCAAGCCTAGACTACCATCCCGTGAGCGCCACCGGTGGTGTTTTGAGCAGGAGACGGAAGCAGGCTTTCCAGCAGAACTTATTCTCTATGGTCATTAAGGCAAACTCTTAAATTCACTAGGTTTCCACCTTTATTCTCTTTTCGTCAAACTTAGAGCCACCCCCTGCTTCTGTCCTCCCGGTGCTGCACTTAAAGGAGTGGACCACTACATCAGACTTGTCCTGTTAAGGGATAGTTGTGGAATCTGAAGACTGTTCCTCAAGTCTGGGGACTCTTGGAACCCTGGAGGGTAGTGTTGAATAACTTTCAGGGCTTGTGATGGCTAAAATAGCAAAAATTTACATGAAGTTATACTGACAGGCTCCCCAGCTTCAGTGCTTCTTCGCACTACCTGCAGGAGCTCTATCAAAGTTACCTTACCGAATCACTTCCCGGCTGTGACTTTTCTTCTCCCATCGAAAAACCATTAGAACTGAGTTTCAGGGGCTGGAGAGATGGCTCAGAGGTTAAGAGCCCTGGCTGCTCTTCCAGAGGTCCTGAGTTCAATTCCCAGCAACCACATGGTGGCTCACAACCATCTGTAATGAGATCTGGTGCCTGTATACATAATAAATAAATAAATCTTAGAAAAAAGTTAAATCATGGCTTTTGCTCTAGGCTAACTGACATGCTTAGTTTAAAAAAGAAAAACAAAATCAAAACCAGAGTTTCAGTTAGGCATGGTGGCACGGGCCTATTCGAGAGGCTGAAACAGAGGGATGCTGGAGACCTTTTTTTTTTTTTTTTTTTTTTTTTTTTTTTTTTTTTTATTTTTT